TAATATTTCATGATTATTTTTTTATTAGTGAGTAATATATTAATATTAGTAAGTTAAAGGCTGATAGTCAAACTTGATTACAAGTCCCCATGTCACTTAAGTATCTCACTGGAGTGGGGATTAATGGTTCTTGGGCAATGCTGGAGGTACAGTCCAGAGTGCCAACAGGAGAGACCGTGCTGATGCTGAGGACCAGTACCATAGAGATGAACTGAGCGGTCAAATGGTCCATGCATCTGCCAAGCTGCAACACACTGGCACTTAGTCCATGCAGAGCTTCCATTATCTCCCGCTGTGCCGTCTTGTGTGGCCCCAGGAGGGCTACATGTGTGGAGAGGGGTTGTCAAATGTGGTCAGTTTGTGCAGTTTTTTGGCCAGATTGTTCTGTGACCCAGATGCAGAACACTGAGAGTGGTAGTGGCTTAAGATAATTTATTGAGCAAAAGTCTTTGAATGGAAGCAATGGCGGCTGAGGGTTGGCTGACTGGCAATGAACAGCTGCAGAATGAAGAGTGTCTGATGGTAAACTGGAATGTTGGAGCACAGTTGAGGAGAAAAGCAGCTGGCAACAAGGCACACATGAAAACACAGGAGATGAGAAGGACTGCAAACTAGAAGCTCTGGAGACAGAATGCTCAGCTGTACACTGGAGTTGACCAGAGAGTCGCTGTGGTGAACAATTTGCCACTAGAGTGCAGGAAGAACCCGAGGTTGTATGGAGCTGTTATGATGAGGTGAGATGAGTTGCAGGCATGCCTAATCAGCCAGCTGCAGGGATATGATGGGTCGTTTCTATTTTACCGGCACAGCTTTTCTGGTGCGTATGACATTGGCTCATCAGCTCAGGACACACACAGACCAATTATGTACGAGTTCAGCCATCTCTCGTGGCGCTACTGAGCCAGTGAAGTCTCTGTATTGCCAGCACTAAACATCACAGCTGCTTTCAGTAAACAGTTGAGAGGTGAGTGACAGACAAGAGGAGGAAAGACAAAAAAGAAAAATAAATAAAGCGACACAGAGAGGAAGACGAAGGGATGTGTGAGCCAGACACAGCGATAGAGTAAAAGGCAAAGAAACTGGTGAGCCTTAGACAAGACAGAAAAACATTTGCAAATTGTGCTGTCGAAAAAAAACAAAAAAGTGGACAGCGAAAACAGAGCCTTCAACCCGGAGTGGACAGACCTGTTCATGTTCATTCTGCCCTCTGGAAACACAAAACCTCTGTGTCTGATATGTTCAGAGACCATGGCGCTCATTAAAAGCCGCAATGTGAAACGCCACTATGAAACCAAACACAAAGATTTTGACCAATCATACCCAATCAAGTCTGAATTGAGGGCACAGAAAATAAGCAGTCTTAGAGCCCAGTATGATCAGTCTACCAGGATCCTGACACATTCATTCACTGCCCAGCAACGTGCTAACAAATGTTCCCTCAGAGTTGTTTGGATTCTGGGGCAACCCAACAAATCATTTAGTGATGGGGAGGTTGTCAAGGAGTGCATGAGTGCAGTAGCTGAAACCTTACTTGAGGGGAAACAAAAAGAAGAGCTTTGTAACAAAATAAAACAAATACCTATGTCTGCATCATCAGCTACAAAAGAAAGGTGCCATATTAACCAAAGATGTACTATCTCAGCTAGACCAAGCCATTCAGAAAGCACTGTGTGTAGCCTTGGCTGTAGATGTGACTGACAATGCTCAGTTGTTAGTTTATGTAAGGTTCTTCAACAAGGACAAGAGTATTTTCTGTGAAGACCCATTAAGGAAATGTTAGCAAAGAGAGGAATAGAGCCAAAACAAGTGGTTTCAGTGACTTCAGATGGAGCCCCTGCCATGATAGGGAGAGAGAAAGGAGCTGTGGTGAGACTGAAGAAAGACAATCCTGAGCTCATTGCTTACCATTGTATAATTCACCAGTCTGTTCTATGCCCAACCCTGTCAGATGAGCATGCTGAGGTGATGAACACACTGATGAAAATGATCAACTTTCTCAGGGCATCCTCGTCCTATCAGCATCACATGCTTTGGGAATTCCTCAGAGAAGTTGAAGCAAATGCCGATGATCTTTTGCTGCACAACAATGTGAGATGGCTCAGCAAAGGCAGGCTGTTGGAGCAGTTTAGGTCCATCAGAAGGGAGGTAGCAGCTTTTTTGGCAGAGCTGAAGAGTCAAAAGGCGACAGAGTTTTCTCTCTTTTTAAAAGATGAGAAAAAGATGGATGATGTGGCCTTTTTGGTTGATATCACCTCACATCTCAGTCAACTGAATTTGAAGCTACAGGGCAAGGACAATTCAGTTTGTGAACTGTTGACAGCTGTCTGCTCCTTTCAGAGGAAACTTGAGGTGTTCAAGGAAGACCTGCAGGGAGACTGTGTCCACTTCTCAGCATTGCAGCAACAGGTTCAGGGACAGAGAGATGTGTCTTCTTTTGTTGACTTTGTTGATAAGCTGATTGTAAACTTCAGCAAACCTTTTGACAGCTTCATCTTTGGACACCATGTTCATTCAGAACCCATTTCTCATCACAGATGTCAGGGGGTTCTCAAAGGAAGTCACACAGCACTTCAAATGGGCAAATGCTGGGCCTCTTCAGATGGAACTGGTTGATCTCCAAGCAGATGTGGCCCTTAAAGAGCAGTTCAGAGGAACTGACCCTGCCACTTTCTGGCTCCAAATGGTCTCTGTCACTGTTTTCGTAGGCCTGAGGAAAGTAGCCCTTCAGGCAGCTTTTTTTTTTTTTTTATCACATAATGAACAGTCACTGTAAAACACTAACAACAGACACACAATCATTTAAATGAATAATTATTCCTAACCAGAGCAGAATAAAACCCATTTTTAATAAACATCCTTTAAAATCGCATACCTGCTACGCTGCCATCTCACACACAGCATGTAATCAATGTCCCCATAAAACTGTTCAGTCACACTGCACAACTTCACAACAAAGTCACACAAACATCTTACCACAACATCTTACCACAAATGAACACGGCTGAGGGGTATACTACGAAGCAAGTTTGACATAGCCAGGCTTTCTTTGTGTAAGCCGGATTGACAAAACCGAAACCCCAGCTAGAGATTACGGGTATCATGAAGGTGGTTATCAACTTTCTTTGTCAACTCAGGCTTTCTGCTTCATACTCTGTGCGCGTTCACATAAAAAGGGCGTTTAACACGTCACGTGACTCTTTTTCAGCACAAAATGAAACGATTGTGTACAGCTGCTTCAGTCAACATGTTGTTTTAATGGAGAACAATGAGAAATATAAAAATTTATGATGGTATAAAGCGCTGCTACGACAAATAGTGCAAGACAGGAATGCTGGTAGAAAACTGTTAAATGTGCTTATTTCCAACTGACAGCTGCACGTTAAAGTTACACTTTAAGTTGACTATATTTAAACATGATATTGCACTGAGGTGCATTTAGGTCTGACACTGTCCCATAATGCAAGATATCATTTTCATTTTTGGTCAAATCAAAGCGAAAATAATGTTATTGACTGAATATTCTCTGTAATAAATACCTGTAGAATAATCTACTTTCTAATCAGTGTTCTATCAGCTACAGTACCAGCAGCATAAACAGACTTGACAGCAAATCAGAGCCAAACATAAAAACATATTTATGTAATTTCTGTGTGCCAACTAAATATACGTCTGGTTCCCATGGCAATGAATATTTACAGTGTGCGATACTGTAACTACACAACTTCATTGAGTGATATTAGTAACACACAACTCATCTTGTTTGCAGATAAAACACACTCCCTCAGCTGAGAATCTGGATCGCTCATAAATAATAGTCAGGAAACAATTTGGTTAAAGGGGGACACTATTTTCAGCTGATTTAAATCCAAAACTCTGAACATAACCTGCTCCTGACCAGGTTAGCTCCACAGCATCAGTTACCATGGAGATCTAGCAGGTAAAAAGAGAGCCACCTTCGTGACACTGAAAACTCTGGCTTTAAGCTTGACGTACCTTGATAACCCACTAATCTTGTTTCGTAGTACAGCCCTCTGAACTAGGCCGTTGTCTTGAGCGATAGCCTTTGAATTGTGATGTTTCCTACTCGTGATGGGAAGTTCGGCTCTTTTCACAGAGCCGGCTCTTGTGGCACGGCTCCCAAAGAAGAGCCGGCTCTTTCGGCTCCCAAACGGCCCCTAATTTATTATCATCTGTAGTCTCCTAATTTAGCCTAACCTGGCAAATATGAATGCTTTGTGTGTTGATAAACCCTTTTGAATTTAGTGTTTTTTATGAGAAGTCTTATAATGGCCTAATTTTGTGTATTTTTGTGGTACAAAAGCAGGCATTCTTACTTTTGTTTCACATTTTAATCAAACTTTTAATCTTAATTTAACATGAAACCAATGAACAAAACTCTGCAAACAAACCCACAGAACAGAAACAGAACAGAACCAGAACAAAACTCAGTTCAAACACCGAACAATATGTCCTTAGTGCAGGTTTGCATTCAAAAGAATTCAATGTCTCAGCTTGGCTGATGCGATTTCACCTCTCGGTTGTTATCTACCCTGTTTTTGAGAAAACTCTCTCAGAGGGAACAGATGTTGTCTCCCCTCCATCACCTTCACCAGGTGGGGGAAGACTGAGGCCTTAGCCTGCCACCAGCTCAGTGGCTCTTCTGCTCTTTGGTTGAGCATCGCATCTCCATTATAACATCAACTGTGGCACTAAATCTTCACATGTGATTGGCCACAAGGCCGCCATGCTACCAATCAAAACAAAGTTCTGCCGTGAGCTGAGCTGAGCCACTGAGCAGCAAAAAAAAAAAAAAAAGTCGGGAGCCAGCTCTCACTCGATGAGAGTTGGCTCTTCTGATTCACTGTAAAAGCATCGGACCTTAGAGCCGATGCTTTTGCGCATGACAGCTCACTATTTCCTATTGTCTGTGAAGGCAGCAGTGACACTGCGCCTGCGTTGGTCTTGACGTGTCGTGACGTCTGGAGTCACGTGAGCCTAATTTGAAATAAACCGGGAAGCAGCATTTAGACGAAGGAGCGACCGAACCGAGACTCTGGGTAAGTGACCTCCAGTAGAACCTCCTCTACAACTCCGTTAGCTTTACGGTTACAGAAACATTCAAACAGGCGAGTGTGAAACCCGTCCCTGCTTTAATAAGCCTCAATAGTCATGTTAAATAAATCGGCTCGTTCGAGATCAGTCAGACATGCGCAGATTCGATCGACGCACAGTGGATGCTGGTTAGCTTTCTGTCCAACTTGATAACATCCTGAGATCAAAACGATCAGGTGCCGCAGTTAAGGCTCATCTCATGTCACTAATTTCACCCTCTTCGACTCAATATGTATCTCACTCTGTATTTGTTTAGTACTATTTTGTGTACTATGTTATACTTCGCACTGTACGTGTGTGTTCAATAACAACTAAAAACATGTGACATCTGTACATTGTGGTCACATTCTACCGTGCTGATACTTAAATTCTAACTAGAATGTGTTCTGTAGGTTATCATGGACACTGTTCTGCTCATCTGACAGAGATCATAAACACAGTGGTAGCCTTTAGTAAACCATAGACAGGGGATGCAACTGTTTAAAACTGACACTTAGAGGTGAGGATGTCTGATTTTGTCAAAAATCTGTTGCCTCAACTCCTCTCCTTTCACATCAACTCTTCACCTCCTCTGCTGGAATCTCTGCTGGGAGGGAATATGTAGCTCTAGGACATTATCACTGGACTGATTGAGTTCCTTAGTTATTGAGCAACAGCAACATTTCTGCTCAGGGATGTGAGGATTGTTAAAATAGCATCTTTACAGAAGTTTCAGCTCTGACAGTCTGAATATCTGACAGATCAATAATAAAAGCTGTTGTCCTGTATTTCTTACTCTTGTATTTGCCTTTTATCAGTGTTTTCTGTTTGTTCAGTTTGAAAGGGACAGGTTTGTTGTTGTTGTTGATTTATGTTTCTACAGTGACAAACTGATCTGATACGTATGATACATGTAAAATGAATGAACGATGAACAGAGATCACAGATCACCTGTATGGCATTTTTAAAAGGCTGCCCTGTTGTCATTAAAACTACTGTAGAACTCAATCATTCATCAGAGACACTCTAATAAATGTAGTTAGTTCCTGTACAGACTGAAGGCTGCTGGAAACTGTCTGTCTTGACTGTGGACTTTTGACCAGAGATGGCAAAAGTTCTCACATTCTTTACTTAAGTAGAAGTAGAGATACTTGTGTAAAACTAGAATCTGGTAAAAGTAGAAGTACTGACTCAACTCCTTTACTCAAGTAAAAGTGAAAAAGTACAGGTTCAGAAATTTACTGAAAAGTAAAAATAAATTTTTAGCTTTGATGAAACACGATGCCTCTTTTGATAACTCTGCAAAACAAAAAAAGTTTTTAGCACACAAAGTAGGATTGTTTTCATCCTTTAAGAACTTGCACAGTCCAAGCAACATTATGAACATTAAACATTATATAATGTTCAGGTTCTCTATTCAGACATGTAGAGTGTGCTTTTATTACCTCTTGCACACTCTACATGTCTGAATAGAGAACCTGAACATTATATTATCAGTAAGAACACATGATGAAAGTTTTTGAGCTATTAAGCATTATAATCAACATGGAAACACTCATCTCTTCAAGACTACCAAAATCTTTTATTGAGCCTCAGTAGAAGCTGATTGTCAAAGTTCTCTGAATGAAGACGGTCCCTTTTGAGTCTGAAAATCACTCCTGCAGTGCTAAAAAGCCTCTGGCAGGCAGCTGAAGCAGGCAGTGGTGTGTTGAGTTTCAGTGACAAATTGCACACTGCTGGGAAAGATAAAGACGTTTGTTGTTACGTCTTTTACGTCATGTCGTCATCTGTGGAAGTTGAAACAAGTAACGAGCCAGTTTTGAGAATGTAAGGAGTAGAAAGTCCAGATATTTGTGTTCAAATGTAGGGAGTAAAAACAAAAAGTTGTCAGATTTACTCAAGTAAAGTACAGCTACCTGCAAAATCTACTTCAGTACACTAACGAAGTATTTGTACTTCATTACTTCTCACCTCTGCTTCTGACTCTGCTCTCCTGCTCTCAGCCACTTTCCAGACGCACCTGGACAAG